TTTTTTTTTTTTTTGGTGTTGAGTTATATGAGTTCTTTATATATTTTGGATATTGATTCCTTATTGGCTATATTATTTTCAGATATCTTCACCCATTCTGTAGGTTACCCTTTCATTTTGTTGATGGTTTCTTTTGTTATGCAAAGCTTCTTAGTTTGATTTAGTCCAGATTGGTTATTTTTGCTTTGTTGCCCTTGTCTAAGGAGACAGATCAAAAAAATATTGATGATATATGAGACTTTATTATGTGTTTCTTTTAGGGGTTGTATGATTTCAGGTCTTACATTTTGGTCTTTAATCCTTTTCACATTTATTTTTGTATATGGTGTAAGAAAGTGGTCAGTTTCATTCTTCTGTATGTAGCTGCCAGTTCTCCCACCACCTTTTCTTAAGGAGTCTGTCTTTTCTCTATTGTACATTCTTGCCTCCTTTGTTGTAGATTAATTGGTGATACAAGAATGGGTTTAAGTTTGGGCTACTTCACTCCATTGACCTATGTGTCTGTTTTTGTGCCAGTCCAGTACCATACTGTTTTTATTGCGATGGCTTTATAGTGTAACTTGAAAATCTGGGATTTTGATACCTCCAACTTTGTTCTTTCTCAAGATTGCTTTGACTTTTGTGTTCTTTTGTGGTTCCATACACATTTTAGGATTATTTGTTCTAGTTCTGTGAAAAATGCTCTTGGTATTTTGGTGGGGATTGTATTTAATCTGTAGATTACTTTGGGTAATATGGATGTTTCAACAGTATTAATTCTTCCAATCTGTGAGCACAAAATACCTTCATACTTATTTGTGTCATTTTTATTTCTTTCATTTATGTCTTAAAGTTTTCATAATACAGGTCTTTTACCTCCTAAGTTCAGTTAATTCCTAGGTATTTTATTCTCTGTGATGCAATTGTAAATGGGATTGTTCTCTTAATTTCTCTTTCTGGTAGTTCTTTGTTAGTGTATAGAAATGCAACAGATTTCTGTATATTAACTTCCTATTCTGCGCATTTACTGAATTTACTAGTTCTAATAGTTGGAGTTGGTGGAGTCCTTAGGGTTTTCTCTGGGTAGTGTCATGTCATGAACAGTGAGTTGTACGTCTTTCTTACCAATTTGGATGACTTTTATTTCTTCTTCTTTACTGTGGGTGTGGCTAGGACTTCCAGTACTATGTTGAGTAAAAGTGGCAGGATTGGGCATCCTTGTCTTGTTCCTGATTTTAGAAGAAAAGCTTTCAACTTTCCACCCTTCAGTATGATAATTAATTGTGGGTTTGTGATATATAGCCTATTGAAGTGTGTTCCCTCAATACTCACTTTGTTTTTATCATGAATAGATGTTGAATTTTGTCAAGTGCCTTTTCCTCATCTATTATTATGATGACAGTAAGATTTTTAATACTTCATTTTCTCTATGTGGTATATAGCCCATTAATGATTTGCAAATATTGAACCATCCTTGCATAAGTCCCACTTGATTGTGGTGAATGATCATTAAGTATTATTGAATTCGGTTTTCTAATATTTTGTTGAAGATTTTTGCATGTGTTCAACAGGGATGTTGACCTGTGATTTTTTTTTTTTGTAGTGTCTTTGTCAAGTTTTGGTATCCATGTAATGCTGGCCTTGTAGAATGAATTTGGAAGCATTCCTTCCTCTTCTGTATTTTGGAATAGTTGGAGATGGATAGGTATTAGCTCTTCTTTAAATGTTTGGTAGAATTTACCTGTGAAGCTAGCTGGTCCTAGATTTTTGTTTGTTGGGAGGTTTTTGAGTATTGATTCAGTTTCATTATTAGTATCTGCTCAGATTTTGTTTCTTCCTGATTCAGTCTTGCAGATTGTACATTTCTAGGAATTCATCCCCTGTCTCTTCCAGGTTCTTCAGTTTGTTGGCATCATTTTTGTTGTAGCATCTCAATAATCCTTTGTATTTCTGTGATGTCAGTTGTAACTTCTCTTTAATTTCTGATTTTACTTATTTGAGATCTTTTTTTTTTCCTTGATGATTCTGGCTAAACATTTTGCAATTTTACCTTTTCAAAGAACCAGTTCTTAGTTTCATTGATCTTTGTGTGTGTGTATGGATTTGTTTTTTTGGTCTCTATTTCACTTATTTCCACTCTAATCTTTATTCTTACCTTCTGCTAACTTTGGGCTTCTTTTTCTAGTCCCTTTAAGTGTAAGATCAGATTATTTATTGAAGATTTTTCTTGTTTCTTGAAATATGACTGTATTGCTACAAATTTCCCTCTTGGAATATCTTTTACTTGTCCCAAAGATTTCAGAACAATGTTTGCATTTCCATTTGTTTTTCATAACATTTTTCATCAAATTTGGGGTATTTTTTATTGTTGTTTCTTCAAATATTCTTTCTGCCCCTTTCTTTCCTGTCCTTTTGGGACTCCCATTGTGCATATGTTGATGTCTGCTAAATGGTGTCCCACAGATATCTGAGATGTTATTAATTTTTCTTTATTCATTTTTCTTCTGTCTTCATGTTCACTTATTCTTTCTTCTGCCTGCTCATATCTGCTTTTGAATGCCTCCAGTTGGTTTTTAATTTTAGTTATATTTTTCAACTCTGGAATTCCTTTTTGATTATTTTTTGTAAGTTCTGTATATTTATTGATAGTCTATTTGATGAGACATCATTCTTATATTTTAGTGTTTTAAGTGTGGTTTCCTTTAGTTCTTTGAACATATTCAAAACAGCTATTTAAAAGTCTTGTCTCTTAAGTCTAATGTTAATGTTTGGGCTTCTTCCAGTTGCTGTTGATTGTTTTTTTCTCCTTTGTGCTATACTTTCTTGTTTCTTTGCATGCCTCATAAATTTTTGTTGAAAATTAGATATGTTAAGTAATTGGATATTTTAAATAATCATGTGGCATCTCTAAAAATGGGTTTCTCCCATTCCCAGGGTTTGTGAATGTTTTTGTTCCTTCTGCTTGTTTTGTGACTTTTCTGATAACTAATTTCATTTTGCATAGTCTGTATTCTTTTTGTTAATTTCCATGTAAATAAATGCTTCCCTAGTTTAGTTGACAAGCTAATGTTGGAGTAGAGATTTTTTTCTTAAGTGCTTGGAAACAGTAAGTGTTCTGCTCTTTGCTCTCTGTGTGTATTGGACCATGTGTTTAATATTCAGATAGACATTTTATGATTTTGTCTTAGTCTTTACTTCCTGTGCTCTTTGCTGAGTAGGCATGATGCCCTGTGCATTTACAAAATGTGCATGTGTAGCCTTCTATATTACCTGGAACATACTGGAGCTTTTAAAAGCCTGTGTGGAGATCTCATTTCCCTGCTTTTCCCTTAAGTTTTTTGGTTAACCTGTTGTTTGCCCCAGTATTTATCCACTGCATCTGGCAGTTGACATGTTAAAAAAATTGCCTGTAATTGTTTTCTACAAATGCCCCCTGGGGGAAATATTTACACACTGGGCTATTGCTGAGTCAGGTCAAATACAGACAGGTTTGAACGTGGCTTCTTCCAGGGAGCCACCAGACCATTCAAATAATGGTATTTCTCAGGAAATGAGACTCTGTACAATCTCCAACCTGTCTGTCCTCTTTTGTAGGCTGCCAGGCTTTTGGTTTCCACTATGATCCTAAACTGTTGGTTTTGAAGGTTACTGTGCATCTGGTGAGCAGGATATGGAACAGGGCAGGTACAAAAAGGCTACAAAGCTTGCTGTTTTCACTGAGATTAGCTATTTTTCTTCTGTAAACATTCCTGGATCACTGTAATCGTTTGGTTAATTCCCAGAAATATGAAAAAGTAGATTCTGATAGATTTGGCGGTTTTCTAATTGATTTTCTGGAGGAAAGAATTTTCTGAGGTCTCAACTTTTCCACATTGCTGCCTTTAACTCCTCTCTTTTGAAATCAGCTCCCGAAACATCATTTTATTTTGTAGTACTTAAAAATTGAATTTATCATCTTTGTTTAAAAAAAAATGAATCAAAACTGAAACAGTTTACTAATTAACTTTTTTCTTGTTAAATGACAGCCCATAAATCATATTCATTATAAAGCCATACTTCTTTACTTTCAACAGGAACTATCATGTATTCTATTACCTCCTGGCAGGAGCAAGTGAAGAAGAGAGATTAGCATTCCACCTTAAACAACCAGAAGGATATCATTATCTCAATCAGGTGAGAGTTGATGAAAAACTTTCTGAATGTAGGGCATTATTCAATTTTAGCTCTTGAGAAAAGGGTATTTTTCTAGTACTTTGTTTCCTGAACCTGGTAATGGAGGTTAACTAGCATTTTCATATGTGATGTAAGATGGAGTTCTCAAACTTAAAACTTATTATTACTTTCATATGAGTTTTAAAAGATTAGATATGTGCCTTTTTCTGTTTGTGAGACTCTTAATTTAAGAGGATAATAAATTGCTTATAGATACCTACATATTAGAAAAATAATTTACTCTTTCCAAAGTCATTTACCTTTTTATAGACCATGGCATGCTAATAATAAATGTTACTAATGATTAATACCTGTCCTTTACAAGGGATTACTTGAAACCTTATTTGCATGTTTTGAAATCTAATGCATGTACAGCTTTGCATGATATTATGATACTGAGAGTATGATTATTTTTTATATTTAGCAAATGATCCTATTAAACATTTAGTATGAAATTTATCAAAGAAAATGGTTTGGTGAGTTTGTGTCTTTCCTTGAAGCTCAAAATTCACTCCTAAACTTCCATACTAAGGAGTAATTCTCACAACTTTTCATTATATTGGTTTTTCCAATCTTATTCTTCATATTCAGAGAAATTCTAGAACCAGTATTGATGGAACTGGTACTACAGATCGTTTAAGTAGCATATTGTCTCTCCTTATATTTTTAATTGTTTGAGGTGAGATATAATGTCCATGGAGCAAATTGACACTTTGATGATGGGTCGCAAAGATTATAGTATGTATTTCAGATTATGAAAGTAACATCTTAAAGACTTTTCCCAAGATATAAAGGAAAGTAACATCTTAAAGACTTTTCCCAAGATACAAAGCATTCTGTAAAGCTGGTATTTCTTAATTTTGAAACTGCATATTTATATAATATAGCATTACTTTATATTAATGTTGAGAATTTCATAATTATTCAAAATATTACTTCCTGAAATAATACTATGCATTTCTACTTTACAGAATTAAATAGCCTAAACATTTTTTTAAATTTAACTTCTGAGTTATTTCTTCCTTTGTTTAAACTGTAAGCATTAAATTTGGGTGATAAATATTTTGCTTCTTAAAAAGTAGTAATTACCCATAAGTGAGCTGGTTGTTGTTAGAGAAATCTAGTTTTTTTTGTTTTTAACTCTTTTCCAGTGTAGTCAGTGGCCATACCATACATATCCTTGTCAAGGTCAGTATTCACAGAATATGGGATTGAGTAGTTGTATACATCTCTTGTTATAATAATATGCAGTCTCTCAGAATCTGTATATTTGCCTAGTTGTTTCTTGTTTTCTGGTGCTATACAGAATAGCTTTGTACAGCAGCAGAGCTGCCTGAGCACTACACCTATGAGATGATTAGAGAAGTATAACGACCATTACTACTACCTAACTAATCTGCCTTACTTTCAGATAACAAAGAAACCCCTCAGACAGAGCTGGGATGATTATTGCTATGATTCTGAGCCGGTCAGTACAAGTACCTAAATAGTCCTTGCTCATTTGCATCTATCTTGTGACTTAGAAAATCAGCTGAAATACAAAGAATTTAGGAAAGAAGATAAATCAGTGTTTAATTTCTTTGAATTGGTTTATCTGTACATGTATGGTTTATTGACTAAAGACCAATTTATTTTTCATCTTTTTTTGTTGCTAATGTTTAGTTTATAGATAGTATTTATTTTGATAGATAATAATTGTATTCCTGATTTGAGCACTGATGTGGATTCTTATAAACTACAGGTTTTTTTGTTTCTTGAGGGTTATTTTTTTTCAATTATTTTTAGTAGTTTGATTATCCACATATTATGAGTGGTATTTTAATCCTTCCAGTTTTATCTCAGTTCACAGTCTTTTCCCATAATGAATGCATGCATATTTTTGATTTGAGTTTTTTTAGTAGCAAGAGAAGCTATATTCTCTATATTATTTTCTAAAAATTAAGAATTGGAATTCCTAGAACTTAGATTATTTTCTGTTTTAAATTGAATGATTTAAGGGCATACATTATATAAAATGAGCAGGTAAATTTAGCTAATTACTTGTTATGTTTTATAAGAACTAGTTTGTAATGATAAAACACAAAAAATCTTTTTCCTTCCCTTCAGTTTGCAGTTTGGTGAGATGTAAAGGGCTGAAAATATGCACTCATCAATCTCCATTAATTAATTAATTAACTAATTCATTAACTGTTCCTCCTGGAAGCATAACATGTGTTAGTCCTTGCTTTCAATAATTCTCACTGTGTATGAGTACAAACTCCACTAATTACAAAACTAGTCTTTTTCAGAGTTAGAAAAATCAGTAATTATGGACATTAATTTTTTTCCTTCAGACAGTTTAATTGCATTACCATTTCATAATAAATTGAGTAATTCATGGCTTTAGATTTAACATTTTGGAAAATAAATTTTAGTAGAAAAATTTTATGCTTTTTGCTACTCAGGAGAAGCTTCCATCTTTCACTTAGTACAACATGTAATTATACATCATTGGGAAGTAGGTAGGAGATGGGGAAACTTATATGGCAAGTATAAGACTTGATTGCCTGGACATAGTTTATGGTAAAATTGTGAACTGATCTACTATTATTTAGATAGTCTGAGTCATGCTTAAGAATTTGGGCTCTGAAGCAGACAGACCTGACTTCAATAAGGGCTCATTTAACGTAACAGTTTTGAGAACCTAAGAAGGTCACTTGATTCTTTTGTTTTCATCATCTATTTAAGGGCTTAATGGTTTTTATCTTTCACTTTGTGAGTTTTAAATTAGACAGTGCATCTAAACACTTGATAGAGTGCTTAATACTTAGTGCACAATAAATGTTTCCACTATTGCAACCGCCGTTGAAATCATCATCCCATCTTTTCCTTTTAGAATAAATTTGTAGCCATACTCTCCTCCTTCCTCAACATCACTTTTGTCACTGTCCTCCTACTTACTGTGCTTTCAGCTATTATAGTTTGATCTTTGATTAATTTCTGTTTTTTTGCTATTATTAATGTACAATTAATGAGCAGTATTATGATTATTAGACTCCCTTATTATCAACTCCCCACCATACCCCATTACAGTCACTGTCCATCAGCATAGTAAGATGCCATACAGTCACTACTTGTCTTCTCTGTGTTATACTGCCTTCCCCGTATCCCCACCCTCACTACATTATGTATGCTAATTGTAATACCACCTTTACCCCCTTATCCCTCCCTTCCCACCCAACTTCCCAGTTCCTTTCCCTTTAGAAACTGTTAGTCCATTCTTGGGTTCTGTGAATCTGCTGCTGTTTTGCTCCTTCAGTTTTTTCTTTGTTCTTATACTCCACAGATGAGTGAAATCATTTGATACTTGTCTTTCTCCACCTGGCTTATTTCATGGAGCATAATACCCTCTAGCTCCATCCATGTTGTTGTAAATGGTCAGATTTGTTTTCTTCAAGTAGCTGAATAATATTCCATTGTGTATATGTACCACATCTTCTTTATCCATTCATCTACTGATGGACACTTAGGTTGCTTCCATTTCTTGGCTATTGTAAATAGTGCTGCGAGAAACATACAGGTGCATGTCTTTTTCAAACTGGGCTCCTGCATTCTTAGGGGAAATTCCTACGAGTGGAATTCTTGGATGAAATGGTATTTCTATTTTGAGTTTTTTGAGGAACTTCCATACTGCTTTCCACAACGGTTGAACTAATTTGCATTCCCACCAGCAGTGTAGGAGGGTTCCCCTTTCTCCACATCCTCTCCAACATTTGTTGTTGTTTGTCTTTTGGATGTTGGCCATCCTAACTGGTGTGAGGTGATATCTCATTGTGGTTTAAATTTGCATTTCTCTGATGATTAGCAATGTGGAGCATCTTTTCATGTGCCTGTTGGCCATCTGAATTCTTCTTTGGAGAAGTGTCTGTTCAGATCCTGTGCCCATTTTTTAATTGGCTTATTTGCTTTTTGTTTGTTGAGGTGCGTGAGCTCTTTATATAATTTGGATGTCAACCGCTTATTGGATATGTCATTTATGAATATATTCTCCCATACTGTAGGATGCCTTTTTGTTCTGCTGATGGTGTCCTTTGCTGTACAGAAACTTTTCAGTTTGATATAGTCCCACTTGTCCATTTTTGCTTTTGTTTCCCCTGCCTGGGAGATATGTTGATGAAGAAATTGCTCATAATTATGTCCAAGAGATTTTTGCCTATGTTTTTTTCTAAGAGTTTTTTGGTTTCATGACTTATATTCAAGTCTTTGATCCATTTTGAGTTAACTTTTATGTATGGTGTTAGACAATAATCCAGTGTCATTCTCTTACATGTAGCTGTCCAGTTTTGCCAACACCAGCTGTTGAAGAGGCTGTCATTTCCTCATTGTGTATCCATGGCTGTGTTATTGTATGTTAATTGACCATAAGTGATTGGGTTTATATCTGGACTCTCTAGTGTGTTCCACTGGTCTGTGGGTCTGTTCTTGTGCCAGTACCAAATTGTGTTGATTACTGTGGCTTTGTAGTACAGCTTGAAGTCAGGGAGTGTAATTCCCCCCACTTTATTCTTCCTTCTCAGGATTGCTTTTGCTATTTGGGGTCTTTTGTTATTCCATATGAATTTTTGAACTATTTGTTCCAGTTCATTGAAGAATGCTGTTGGTATTTTGATAGGGATTGCATTGAATGAAGATTGCTTTAGGCAGGATGGCCATTTTGACAATACTAATTCTTCCTATCCATGAGCAAGGGTTGTGTTTCCATTTGTTGGTATCTTCCTTAATTTCTCTCATAAGTGTCTTGTAGTTTTCAGAGTATAAGTCTTTCACCTCCTTGGTTAGGTTTATTCCTAGGTATTTTATTCTTTTGGATGTAATTGTGAATGGAATTTTATTCCTGATTTTTCTTTGTGCTAGTTCATCATTAGTGTACAGGAATGCAACAGGTTTCTGTGTATTAATTTTGTATCCCCCAGTTTCACTTAATTCAGATATTATATCTTGTAGTTTTGGAGTGGATTCTTCAGGGTTTTTTATGTAAAATATCATGTCATCTGCAAACCAGGACAGTTTAACTTCTTCCTTGCCAATCTGGATGCCTTTTATTTCTTTGTGTTATCTGATTTCCGTGGCTAGGACCTCCAGTATTATGTTGAATAGAAGTGGGGAGAGTGGGCATCTTTGTCTTGTTCCCAATCTTAAAGGAAAAGCTTTTGTCTTCTCGCTATTAAGTATAGTGTTGGCTGTGGGTTTGTCATATATGGCCTTTATTATGCTGAGGTACTTGCCCTCTATACCTGTTTTCTTGAGAGTTTTTATCATGAATGTATGTTGAATTTTGTTGAATGCTCTTTCAGCATCTATGGAGATGATCATGTGGTTTCTCCCCTTCTTTTTGTTGATATAGTAGATGATGTTGATGGATTTTTGAATGTTGTACCATCCTTGCATCCCTGGGATGAAGCTCACTTGATCATGATAGATGATCTTTTTAATGTATTTTTGAATTTGGTTTGCTAATATTTTGTTGAGTATTTTTGCATCTATGTTCATCAGAGATATTGGTCTGTAATTTCCTTTTTTTGTGGTGTCTTTGCGTGGTTTTGATATTAGAGTGATGTTGGCCTCATACAATGAGTTTGGGAGTATTCTGTCCTCTTCTACTTTTTGGAAAACTTTAAGGAGGATGAGTATTAGGTCTTTACTAAATGTTCGGTAAAATTCAGCAGTGAAACCATCTGGTCCAGCCATTTTGTTCTTAGGTAGTTTTTTGATTACCAGTTCAATTTCTTTGCTGGTAATTGGTCTATTCAGATTTTCTGTTTCTTCCTGGGTCAGGCTTGGAAGCTTGTATTTTTCCAGAAAGTTATCCCTTTCTTCTCAGTTATCCTGTTTGTTAGCATGTAATTTTTCATGTATTCTCTCATAATTATTTGTATTTCTATGGTGTCCATGTGATTTTTCCCTTCTCATTTCTGATTCTGTTTACGTGTGTAAACTTTATTGTTTTCTTGGTAAGTCTGGCTATGGGTTTATCTATTTTGTCTATTTTCTTGAAGAACCAACTGCTGCTTTCATTGATTGTATTGTTTTATTCTTCTCAGTTTTACTTATTTCTGCTTTAGTCGTAATTATGTCCCTTCTTTTACTGACTTTGGGCCTCATTTGTTCTTCCTTTTCTAGTTTCATTAATTGTGAGTTTAGACTGTTCATTTGGGATTGTTCTTTCCTGAGGTAGGCCTTTATTGCAATATATTTTCCTCTTATCATGGCATTCGCTGCATTCCACAGATTTTTAGTTGCATGAAGTATCTTTTTCCATCCCTTTACTTTCAGTCTGTGTATGTGTTTGGGTTTGAAGTGAGTCTCTTGTAGGCAGCATATAGGTGGGTTTTGTTTTTTTTATCCATTCAGTGAGTCTATGTCTTTTGATTGGTGCATTCAGACCATTTACATTTAAGGTGATTATCGATAGGTATGTACTTATTGCCA